AAAAAAAAAAACTTGAACTATTTTCTTCTGGCATGACAAGGATTTTAATTTCTCTTCTTCCTGTTTTCCCCTGAAGAAAATAGCTCACACCATTCTAATTTGTACACCAACTGAGAAAAATAAAAAGCTCAATCAAAAAGTTTTAAGGGAAGGCTTTATATATGTTTTACTCCCTATAGTTTAAAAAGCTTTAATTTGGACCCTTATATTTTGTAATTTTTCAATTTAGTCTTTTGCAGTTGGTAAATCGATGATGAACTTACACTTTCGAGTTTTCTATTCTTGGTAACATTTTTCTCTTTAAATCACTATAAGTTTATCATCGGCCAATTTTAACATTTACATATACCAAAATATATATGTAGCCTAAAGGAAAATATAGCACTTGAGAAATGATCCAAATTTCGGAAATGATAGCTTACAGATAGAAGAACAACAAAAGGCTCAAAATCTAGAGTTTCAGAGGAAAAAAAAGAGAGAGAGAAAAAAGTACTACCAAACATACAGTAAAAATCAATGTGAGGTGCAGAAAAATGTTGAAGGAAATGAATTCAGCTCTTATGATTAGGAAATGAAGTACAATTTTGAACATGATTCCTTCAAGGACAGTTTTGAAGATATACAATAATCACAGCACATTGCATTTAAATGATAAGAAATAACACTTGAAAAAAAAAAAAATATGAAAGAGAACATAGGAATTTAGTTCATAACCTTGCATTCCATCCTTCTTTCCATCCACAGATTTGATCTATCAAAGCCTTTACTTTACCAGTCTCGTCGTTCATTCATTCGATATCCCAGCTCAAATCTTCGTCGTCTTCGTCAGCTGTACTCAGCCGTTTTCGCATTTCCTCTCGATTTGCTTTGTCACCTTGAGTTACTATCATTTTCTTTTCCTCAATGCTGCTCAGATCCTCAATCTCATCCCACCCAAGATCCTCTTCCTCGGGCATCGAGGGCTGTGTCGAAACAATCGAAACATCACTGTCTTTGGAGGATTCACCATGATCAGACTTGGCCTCCGCCACAGGCRCAACCTTCTCGTCCGGTCTCAATCCTCCTTCCAAATGGACTTTTTGATCAGACCCTTTATCTCCATCTAATTCCTCACCATTTCCACCACTCTTGTTCTCCCCCTTATTATCATCACCACCAGAACTTCCTGCATTCAATTCCTCCACAGGAACATCCCTCTTCACAACTTCAGCAGATTCTTTGCCACCCATTTCCTCCTTCGATCCCACATCGGCGACATTCTCCTCTCTCACCACCTCACCGACACTCACTTCCCCACTCTTCSCAGCTTTCACCGCATCCCCTTTCGACCCGGCATTGATCTTACTGTACTCTTCATCATCATCATCAACATCCCAACTCAAGTCCTCCTCTTCTTCACTTGCAATAGCTCTCTTCACAAGCTTGGCCCTGACATTCTCAGCTTGCTTAAGCTTATGCACTCTATAAAAATACCTATGCCAGAAAGTTTCATTATCAATAACATTWGGAACAACTTTTTTGTGCATATTATCAATTGCTCCATTTTCTTCAAGCAAGTTCTCAATTTCCTCGCTCTTATCATTCAGCTGGAATTGCGATTTCCACTTATCAAAATCATCCAAATCTTCAGGTTCCTCACAGTAGGTGGCCAAATCGCCTTGAATCGAACGAACCTGAGCATCGAACCTGCTGTAGGGCTTGGAAGTGGAGCTTCTTTGATTACTGTTGTTCTGGTTATTACTATTATCAGAATCAGATTCCTGATCTACAGCGAGAATCGCATCCTTACCTTGCGCGATGATCTGAGCCGTTCCTTTCAAAACGGAGCTACCGAATTCATCGAAGGCGTGCCCGACCGTCTCCAGCGATCCCTGAGCGACCTCGATTTCCTTCTTCAAACCGGAACCAAATTCCTGGAGATCGCGCCGGTAGGTCTCGATCACGGATTCCGACCTCTGGCTCAGAGTCTTGATGAGACCGCCGAAACTCCATGCTCCGGCAGCCGCGGAGGAATCGTCGATGGGACCTGGCTCCGGGGAACTCGGATCATCCGATTCTGCTCCGTCCTCCTTCAGTAGCGCTTTTTCAGGCGATCGCGGTCCAGATTCGGACGGCGGCGTGGAATCTGGCTCGTCGGAGAATACCGATCTGAAGAAATTCATTTGAGGGATGCGATACAAACAGCGATCAAAATTGGGAAATGGGAAACCTAGTTACAGAAGGAAGAATCGAGAAACGCGTGGATTTGAAGAGTGCAGTGAAGAAATGAAGTTCGTGAAGACGGTGGAAAGTCTTTATCTGGAAGAACGCAGGGCCACACCATGATCGGTGAACTTCCAAATCTCAATCTTCAATCCCCATTACAAAGTTCAGTTTTTTCTTCAGCAAATTTCCAATTTAGGGCTCATATATTATATTGTTTTTTTTAATTAGAATTATTATTTAACTATTTTATTGATATTTATTAATAGTGACAAAGTAAAATTAGATAATTGATAAATTAATTCGAAATTTATAATATTTTACAGTAATAATAAAATCATAAAGTTATATAATCATTTTATTCTCAGAAAAATTACTAACGGTATAAATAAACAAAGAAAATTTGAAATTATAAAAACAATTAATTAAAAAAATTATGAATCCCAATAACATAGAAAAAATTGTAAAAAGTTGTTGTGGAGTAATTATTGAAAATGTGTGGACACGAAATAAAAAATAAAAATAAGATACRATAGAATTTCATAGGCCCAATTGATCTATTGAATGAAATTTTTAATTCTCATTTTCAAGTAAATGGATCTTAGTTAATATTTTTTTTTTCAAATTTATCTTTCATCCTTAAATTTTAAGAAATTACTTTATATTTCCACAATAAATTTTTCAATTATTATTAAATTGGACCTTAAATTTGAAAAAAAATGTTACAAAATATATTCAATTGGTACTAATTCATTCGTTAACTATAATAGTTTATATATCTTTAATCATAGCTCTATCTTTTTAGCAAAGTAAGAACACAAAATTAAGTTTGATTGATGCACAAAATAGACGGTTGAATAACTCTGACGAAACTCATAAATTTTAACCAAAAAAATAGCTCTGTTTTTTTTTTCAAATTCTACTCATTTTGTGTGTTTTATAATTTCTTGAATGTATATGAAAATACTTTTTTTATTGATTATTCAAAGAAAACTTATTAAAAAGTATAAAATATTTTTAAAATTTAAGATATATATTCCAACACTAATTTAAACATAATGTGAAATTTGATGAAATTTAAAGTTTAGGGTAAAAACTGAATTCACAGCCTATCAAGTTCATTGTAAAAATTAAATTTTTTCTTATAAAAAAAATTTAAATCACAAATTTAGTTAGTTCATGAACTTTAATTTAGAAATAAAATGTTATAAAAAATTAATAAATCTTTGAGTACCATCTTTTTAATCTCTGTGAGTTTTAAAAATTGTCAATACCGATCAGATTTTTAACTTGCAAAATTGAAAAAGTTCATAGCTCAGTATTAAAATAAAAAATAAATAAATATCATAGTCCAAATTTATCGACTTATTTTGAGACGCAATTTCTAGTTGCTGTTATTAATTCATCCCTATTGAAAAATATGTTTTTTTCTTTATTTTTTGTTTGTTCATAGAGCAAAAAGAGAAAACTTATTGAATATAAATCAAATTTACAACCACTTCAGAAGAAATTTATGTTCGAAGAATATTATATATAATATCATAAATTGTATGGAATAATATGAAGAAAATAGAACACCACAATACATAAAAATTAACGTCCGATCGTCAAATTTGAATAGTTGATTGAAATTTGTACAGTATATGAGGCAGATAAGAGTACGTTGGATCATCATCTTTCTTTATAGCTTCCTTTTCTTGTTCGAGATAAGGATGTTGGAGTAACATATCCGCTGTCCATCGTCGTTTAGGATTCCGATCAAAGCATTTTTCAAGAAAGTCTTTTCCTTCTTTTGATAGTTCTTCGGGTATTTTTGGTGTTTCCATATTTACCCTAAGCTTCAACATCAACTGCTCGAGATCTATGCAATCGTCCCATGCGTGCTTTCCAGTAACCATTTCAACCAAAATGCAACCCAAAGACCAAATATCAAGCGGAGTGTTGACCTCACCATAAATGGATTCTGGTGACATGTACATCGGTGTTCCTCTAAACTTCAATTTGAAATTGCACTCTCTCTTTTTGTTACATCGCCTTGAAAGTCCAAAATCCGCTATCTTCAATTTCATTTTACCATCAATTTGAGGGAATGCAAGAATGTTAGCAGGCTTGAGGTCGACATGGACAAACCCTAGTTTGTGAATGCAAGATAGCCCTCTCAATATCATTTTGAGATATTCCTTCACTGTATTCTCCGACAACTTCTTCTGTTTTCTAATCAAGTCAGCTAAGGTACCTCCAGCAGCGTACTCCAATACCAAACTGTAAAAGGCAGAATCAAAGGAATCCCCCTCCGTTATCATCTCACCCCCAAAACACTGAACAATTTCTGGAAATCCGACAAAGTGTTTGAGTATACGTTTTTCATTCAAGAGCGAAGAATAATGTTGAAGCTCAGCTACTTTAACAGCAAAATATTTGAGAGATCTCGTCGTTGGTTTCGCTAAAAACACTTTGCCGTAAGAACCTTTACCCAAATCMTTCACTCGAACCCAATTCGTCATTGTATTGTATAAACCGAATCAAGAGAAATTAGCAGGCCGCAGGCGACGATGGCGACGGTGGTGGCGGCGGCCGGAGAGAAAACGATAGCCGTGGAGGGAGGGAGATGGATTATTGTGTGAGAATGGAAGGAATTTTATGGGCGAAGTGGAGAAATCGGAGTCTTACAAGGAATTATGAATTTCCAAGTTCAAATAGGAATCAATATTATTATTGCTTCTTTTTTATTTAAATTCTCTGATAATCTTTTTATTATTTCCAATTGATTTATTGATTCAAATTTATTATTAGTTTTAAAAAAAAAAATTTGACTTGTCATAAAATTTTGTAGGGCTATATATTTATTTCAATTTTATTTTATTCAATAATTTTTTTATGAACGATTTATTCTCTGACAGTTTTAAAAAATGACATGTAATTTTTAATTATATATAAATAAACATTAACTTGTAGATCTATTTAATGTTTTTTAAATTGGTATAAAATTTCAAAATCATTTTTGAAAAATAAAAAACAAAAATCTAAATGGGTACTCTGGTTTGATAAGCAATTCAATTTACCGTTTTTTATTTTTCAAAAATGATTTTGAAATTCTAGGTAAATTTCAAAAAAAAAAATTAAAAACATATTTCTATTTTTCAAAAACTAATTTTTTAATACTCAACCCCTTTTTCTCAATATTTATCACTAACAAATTTCTTCCTCACTATAATTTTTTTCTAACAAAATTTATTTTTCTCTCTAAATTTTTTATTTTAAATATTTATTATTACTTCTCTCTCCAATTTTTTTTCAATATCATTTTTCTTTTTCTTTCTAATTTTTTTCTTTAACGTATATTTTTCTCTCAACTTTACTTTTTTTCCTCTAAAATTTATCTCTTTTTGTCTTTAAATTTTCTTTCACTATTTTTCTTTTACTAAATTTGCTTCTTTATCTCTCCAAAATTTTTCTTTAAAAAGTTTATTTCAATCCATCTATGTCTCTACATCAGCGATAACAAAAGTTTCGGTTCCTACTTGAAGAATAAAAATGCATGTCCCAAATTCATCACCGATTCCATTTTTTAATAATTAATATATATTCTATTAACATATTTACTAAATCCTGAATAAAATATTGAATATTTCTTAAAACAAATTATTTACAATAGTGAATAATCATTCTAAAAATAATTAAAAGTAATTACAAAACCGATAATTTTTTTCACAAATATCTCTATCCTCAAATAAGAATTATTTAACTTGGTTCTCGATTCCCGAACTGAAGAATGAGGTGGAGATGGTGGACTAAAAATTTTCATAAACACGAGTATGGGAGAGTTGCATCTTCACTCTCGTCCCACACTATTGACATTTCTACTTTAGATAGCATTTTATCTTTAATATATATTTCCAATTTTCTAACTTTTAAAAAATAGAAAGCTCAAAATGGTTACCAAATATATTGTATTTCCTGTTTCTATAAAATAAAAAACAAAAAACGGGTATTAAACATAAGTTTTTGTTTTCTAAAAACATAAAACTACATTATATCCAACCGACCTTATCAAACCATCCTGTATTTAAAA